CAACTCTTGTTCCGAGTAAGGAAATTAGATCTAACAAAAATGATCCCAAATGGATGAACAATAGATTAAAACATGTCATAAGTCAAAAGAGAGGCATATATACGCGTCAAAAGAGGGGATGGGCAGTTAAGAAATCAATATATTCAATTAAAGAGAGAAATAAAAAAGGAATAAGAAAAACAAAAAGGGATTATGAGGCTAAGGTCACAAGGGATTCAAAGACTAACACAGAAGGGTTCTTTCAGGTATACAGAAGTAAGATTAGGAACAAGATTGGCCCACTTAAGACAAATAGAGAAATTAAAACCTAACAAATTCACAGGCCTGATGAAATGTACACAAGGGTTCTAAAGGAATGTAAAGAGGAGCTTAGCAAACCTTTGGCTAATCTTTTCAACATATCACTACAAACTGGCATGGTGCCAGATAAGTGGAAAATGGTAAATGTGATACTTATTTTCAAAGCAGATGAGAGGTTCTTAGCTTCGAACTATAGACCAATAAGCCTAACCTCCATAGTGGGAAAATTTATGGAATCAATAATTGTCGAGGCAGTTCATAGCCACCTTGAAAAGCATAAATTAATTAATGAATCTCAGCATGGTTTTACAAAGGGTCGTTCCTGAATTACGAATTTATTAACTTTTTTCACTAAGGTATTTGAGGAGGTAGATCATGGTAATGAATATGATATTGTGTATATGGACTTCAGTAAGGCTTTTGACAGGGTCCCACATCAGAGACTATTGAGGAAAATTAAGGCACGTGGAATAGGAGGAGAAATTTTTTCCTGGATAGAGGCATGTTTGAAAAATAGGCAGCAGAGAGTTTGCATAAATGGGGAGAAATCAGAGTGGGGAAGCATCACGAGCGGTGTTCCACAGGGGTCAGTGTTGGGCCCCCTGTTGTTCACAATCTACATAAACGACATTGATGAGGGCATAAAATCGACTTAAGCAAGTTTGCCGATGACGCCAAAATAGGCCGTTGAATTCATTCTGACGAGAACATTAGAACACTCCAAGAAGTTTTGAATAGACTGACGCAGTGGTCGGAGAAGCGGCAGATGCAGTTTATTACAGAAAAATGCAAAGTTCTAAATGTTGGACAGGAAAATAACCATGCCACATATAAACTAAATAATGTAGATCTTAATATTACGGTTTGCAAAAAAGATTTAGGAGTTCTGGTTAGCAGTAATCTGAAACCAAGACAACAGTGCACAAGTGTTCACAATAAAGCGAACAGAATTCTTGGCTTCATATCTAGAAGTATAAATAATAGAAGTCCTCAGGTTGTTCTTCATCTCTATACATCCTTGGTTAGGCCTCATTTAGATTATGCTGCTCAGTTCTGGCCACCGTATTACAGAATGAATATAAATGCTCTGGAAAACGTACAAAGGAGGATGACAAAGTTGATCCCATGTATCAGAAATCTTCCCTATGAGGATGAATTGAGGGCCCTGAATCTGCACTCTCTAGAAAGGCATAGAATTAGGGAAGATATGACTGAGGTGTATAAATGGAAGACATGAATGAATAAAGAGGATGTAAATAACGTGCTGAAAATATCTAGCCTAGACAGGACTCGCAGCAATGGTTTTAATTTGGAAAAATTCAGATTCAAAAAGGATATAAGAAAGCACTGGTTTGGTAATAGGGTTGTGGATGAGTGGAACAAACTCTCGAGTACATATATAGAAGCTAAAACGTTGTGTAGTTTAAAAAATAGGTTAGATAAATACATGAGTGGGTGTAGGTGGGTGTGAGTTGGACCTGAATAGCTTGTGCTACTAGGTCAGTTGCCGTGTTCCTTCCTTAAGTGAATGTGACCTTACCTGACTAGGTTGGGCATTGACTTAAGCCAGTAGAAGACTTGGACCTGCCTCGCATGGGCCAGTAGGCCTGCTGCAGTGTTCCTTCTTTCTGATGTCCTACTTCATTCAGTTTGGTAACAGAGCTACAGATGTCCCTCTTAACATAATGATAAACGGATCACCTATCACAAAACTCACAAAGGGAAAATTCTTAGGAATCCACCTTGATAATAGACTCAAATTTCAAACACATATACAACAAATTTCCAAAAAAAAATTCCAAGACCGTAGGCATACTAACGAACATACGGTACTATGTTCCACAGTCAGCCCTCCTGGCCCTATATCACTCACTTATTTACCCCTATCTCACCTATGGAATTTGTGCATGGGCTCAACAACAATAAACCATCTCAGACCATTAATTACCCAACAAAAGGCTGCAGTCAGGATGATAACAAATTCCCACTACAGGCAGCACACTCCACCAATATTCAAAACACTAAACCTACTCACCATACAAAACATCCATGCTTATTACTGTACCTACTACATACATAGAACACTTAATTCTGATGTTAACCCTCCCCTCAAACATCTCCTTACCAACCTCAACAGAACACATGACCATAACACAAGGCACAGATCACTCTTTGATGTTCCTCGTGTCCATCTCACGCTATGCAAAAACTCAATGCACATAAAAGGCCCTAAAATCTGGAATTCATTATCTGTGAATATAAAAGAAACACTGTCTGTTTATAAATTCAAGTCTCTTCTCAAAAATCACTTACTAATCCACAACTAAATAAATACTGAATAATTGTATCCCATAAATTGTATCTCGTAAATGTTTCTCATTATTGTATCTCATAAATGTCTAACCTGTGACCCAATCAAACTTTATTTTTTAATTACTTTACCTAACAAAATACTCCATTCTACTGAATGCTCAACACACAGTAAATGAACATATGACCTGTCTTTGTAATACTCGTTTGTGCTAAATTGTTATATGTTTACAACAATGTTTTTACCACTGAATATATCATTGCTTAGTTAATCTTAGGTTAATTTTAAGCCTCCCCATAATGCTCTGCATACAAGGGGCTTTGGCATGTTACACTGTAATAACTTTGTACCTCACTGTATCATGTTCAAATGACGTGTCTGACCTCATTAGGTCAAGGCATTTGCTTAAGCCGGTGGGGAGAATTGGAGCTGCTTCACATAGACCAGTAGGCCTGTTGCAGAGTTCCTTCTTTCTTATGTTCTTATGAGGGCAAATATTCTATTAGTGGGATGGATCTGTGAAGGACCTGCCTAGTATGGGCCAAAAGGCCTGCTGCAGTGTTCCTGTGGCTAGCTGGTGGCTAACGCGACGGTCTGGAGTTTTGAGACTCTCTGACCTCGGGTTCAATCCCGCCCGTGGTATGGTTTGTTTGCAATCGTGTCATTACGATTTCGTGAGTCATGTTGACGGCAGTGAAGGGACTTGAGCTAGAGTTCGTCACGGCCACGCTAGCTGGAGATTCGTCTGTAAAAACTTGCATTTGTGGTCACAGTGGTGCCTGTGCTAACCTTCCTATTGTGTAGAAATATACCTAGTTGGATGAATCTTACTGTGGCTAGCTGGTCTAGTGGCTAACGCGACGGTCTGGAGTTTTGAGACTCTCTGACCGCGGGTTCAATCCCGCCTGTGGTATGGTTTCCTCCTGTCTTATGTTCTTATGTTCTTATGTTCTTATGTTCTTATGTTCTTACCTTGAAGGGAAAGACAAATATACAAGACTGTAGATTTAGATACATCAAGAGAGAAATATTGTGTTTAAACGCAGATATTGACACAGGTGTTACATGACACATATGATACATGAAACAGGTGTTACATGACACAGATGTTATATGACACAGGTGTTACATGACACAGGTGTTACATGACACAGGTGTTACATGACACAAGTGACACATGACACAGGTGTTACATGACACAGGTGTTACATGACACAGGTAATACATGACACAGGAGTTACATGACACAGGTGATACATGTCACAGGTGTTAGATGACACAGGTGATACATGACACAGGTGATACATGTCACAGGTGTTACATGACACAGGTGATACATGATACAGGAGTTACAGGACACAGGTGTTACATGACACAGATGATACATGTCACAGGTGTTACATGACACAGGTGATACATGACACAGGAGTTACAGGACACAGGTGTTACATGACACAGGTGATACATGGCACAGCTGATACATGGCACAGGTGATACATGGCACAGGTGTTACATGACACAGGTGTTACATGACACAGGTGATACATGACACAGGTGTTACATGACACAGGTGATACATGTCACAGGTGTTACATGACACAGGTGATACATGTCACAGGTGTTACATGACACAGGTGATACATGGCACAGGTGATACATGACACAGTGATACATGGCACAGGTGTTACATGACACAGTGATACATGCACAGGTGATACATGAACAGGTGATACATGACACAGGTGATTACATGACACAGGTGTTACATGACACAGGTGAACAGTGACAGTGATACATGTCACAGGTGTTACATGACACAGGTGATACATGTCACAGGTGTTACATGACACAGGTGATACATGGCACAGGTGATACATGACACAGGTGATACATGTCACAGGTGTTACATGACACATGATACATGAAACAGGTGATACATGACACAGGTGATACATGACACAGGTGATACATGGCACAGGTGATACATGACACAGGTGATACATGACACAGGTGATACATGGCACAGGTGATACATGACACAGGTGATACATGACACAGGTGTTACATGACACAGGTGATACATGTCACAGGTGTTACATGACACAGGTGATACATGTCACAGGTGTTACATGACACAGGTGATACATGGCACAGGTGATACATGACACAGGTGATACATGTCACAGGTGTTACATGACACATATGATACATGAAACAGGTGATACATGACACAGGTGATACATGACACAGGTGATACACGACACAGGTGATACACGACACAGGGGATACATGACACAGTAGATACATGGCAGAGGAGATACATGACACAGTAGATGCATGACACAGGAGATATATAACACTGAAGATACATGGAACAAGAGATACATACCCGGAATCTCTCATCAGCAGAGTATGTGTAGACATCAGCGGTGAGAATGTGTAGGTCTCTCTTCCTCATCCACGTCACCTGCCGGAGATATTCCTCATTATTTCTCACAAGTCGCTCAGTCATCCGTCACAATTTGTGTTACGGCTGGTTGCTCGTCTTGATTGATAAAACTACGGTTACCAGGGCGTAATGATACTGGTATCATGTGACGTAATGATACTGGTATCATGTGACGTAATGATACTGGTATCATGTGACGTAATGATACTGGTATCATGTGACGTAATGATACTGGTATCATGTGACGTAATGATACTGGAATCATGTGACGTAATGATACTGGTATCATGTGACGCAATGATACTGGTATCATGTGACGTAATATTACTGGTGTCATGTGACGTAATGATACTGGTACCATGTGACGTAATGATATTGGTATCATGTGACGTTATGATACTGGCATCATGTGACGTAATGATACTGGTGTACCAGAGGCAAGTGTTACTGCTATAGATGCACGTGCATACTTCACACCATTTGCTTACCTTCCATGGTAACTCTAGGACACTACTGACTACCATCGAGCATATTTAATTTAATGAGGGAAAATGGCTAAACACGTGATATATAGTTTTAGGATATAGGAGACAATTATATTGAATCCAAGAGGTGATATTATTGACTTCCAATGATAATGTTACTGGAAACGCGGAATGGTCTGGGAATCCAGAAGTGTTACCAGCAGGAGGCCATCACTGGGGATCTTGATTAAGGCAGAAGGAATCTAACAATAACTTTGCATTACTGGCTGAGGAGAATTAATTTGTAAAATGCTCATCTGAATTTTTGGTAAATTTTGTCGCTAGGGAGAAAACTTTCACTGGTATAGTAACGCAATAAAAATCACAGCTTCGAATCCGAGTGAGTTTGAGGAGCGTGTCCTGAATACTGAATGGGATTGACATCCACATCCCCAGCCTGGGAAGTCCTGATATACTACCAAGTGAGCTGATAAAATGTGTGGGAGGGAGAGTTGTCAATAGTGAGGAGAGTGCTGATGCAAGTGGTGGGTGATGACATTAGTGGAGTTGGTGCTAGTGTTGGCAGTGGTTGTGTTGTGACTGGTGTTGCCAGTTGCATTGATGTTGGTGTTGGTAAGGCGTTGTTGCAAGTGCTGGTACAGGTGGTGGTACTGGTATTGGTGGTACTTGGTGGAGGCTGTTGTTGCTGGTGTTAGAGCTGTTGTTAGGGCTACTTCAGACAGTTCTGACGACGGTGGTAGTGAGATGGTGGTGGATGGAATAGAGAAGTAACGATAATGAATGGGCAAGGAAAGTGAACGAGAGAAGAGTAGACGAGAGAGAAGGAGGAGAAGGAGGGGTAGAGGTGAGGAAAGAAGGAAAGGTGGGATGGGAGGAGGAAAAAAGCTTCATGGTAACCTGGAAGAGAGACTTCACAAAACATGGGAAGGTTAACACTATTCAATGTACTTGAAGATCCTCTCCCTGGAACACCATTCAAGGTAACTGACACTCTCCCTGGAACACCATTTAAGGTAACCGACACTCTCCCTGGAACACCATTCAAGGTATCTGACACTCTCCCTGGAACACCACTCAAAGTAACTGGCATTCTCCCTGGAACACCACTCAAGGAAACTGACACTCTCCCTGGAACATCACTCAAGGTAACTGACACTCTACCTGGAACACCATTCAAGGTAACTGACACTCTCCCTGGAACACCATTTAAGGTAACTGACACTCTCCCTGTAACACCATTCAAGGTAACTGACACTCTCCCTGGAACACCATTCAAGGTAACTAACTCTCTCCCTGGAACACCATTTAAGGTAACTGACACTCTCCCTGGAACACCATTCAAGGTAACTGACACTCTCCCTGGAACACCACTCAAGGTAACTGACACTCTCCCTGGAACACCACTCAAGGTAACTGACACTCTCCCTGGAACACCACTCAAGGTAACTGACACTCTCCCTGGAACACCACTCAAGGTAACTGACACTCTCCCTGGAACACCACTCAAGGTAACTGACACTCTCCCTGGAACACCACTCAGGGTAACTGACACTCTCCCTGGAACACCACTCAAGGTACCTGACACTCTCCCTGGAACACCGCTCAAGGTAACTGACACTCTCCCTGGAACACCACTCAAGGAAACTGACACTCTCCGTGGAATACCACTCAAGGTAACTGACACTCTCCCTGGAGCACCATTCAAGGTAACTGACACTCTCCCTGGAACACCATTCAAGGTAACTGACACTCTTCCTGGAACACCATTCAATGTAACTGACACTCTCCCTGGAACACCACTCAAGGTAATTGACACTCTCCCTGAACACCACTCAAGGTAACTAACACTCTGCCTGGAACACCATTCAAGGTAACTGACACTCTCCCTGGAACTCCATTCAAGGTAACTGACACTCTCCCTGGAACACCATTTAAGGTAACTGACATTCTCCCTGGAACATCATTCAAGGTAACTGACACTTTCCCTGGAAAACCATTCAAGGTAACTGAAATTTTTCATGGTAAAACTGTTCAAAGTAATTTAAACTTTCAATGGGGAACACTGTTGAAGATAACTTAAGAACTGGAGAATAAACACCACTGGAAGTACTGTAGTTTTCTGACAGAATACAACTCAAGGTTCTTGATACTTCATGATCATTTCCATGGTACCATAATTCACTTGATCATTTCCATGGTACCAGAATTCACTTGATCATTTCCATGGTACCATCGTTCACTTGATCATTTCCATGGTACAATCGTTCACTTGATCATTTCCATGGTACAATCGTTCACTTGATCTTTTCCATGGTACCATCGTTCACTTGATATTTTCCATCGTACCATCGTTCACTTGAACATTTCCATGGAACCATCGTTCACATGATCATTTCCATCGTACTATCGTTCACTTGAACTTTTCCATGGTACGATCGTTCACTTGAACTTTTCCATGGTACGATCGTTCACTTGAACTTTTCCATGGTACGATCGTTCACTTGAACTTTTCCATCGTACCATCGTTCACTTGAACTTTACCATGGTACCATCGTTCACTTGATATTTTCCATCCTACCATCGTTCAGATATACTTAAACTTTTGCATGGCACCATCTTTAAAGATATTTTATCTTTTCTCTACTACCATCGTTCAAGGTACTTGATTTTTTCTATGGTACCATTATTGAACAACTTTAAGAAAGTTATGGTAAGAGAAGTGCACGCAAGATGGAGGAGGTAAATAATACCCTAAGATGGTGACACAAAAACATTACGACTCACGTAATCTTAATAACATGATTGCATACAAACCATGGTGCGATTTTGTAAGGACTTGAGCTAGAGTTCAACACAGCTACGCTGATGTGGGATTCGTCTATAAATAGCTGAATTTGTGGTTACAGTGGCGGCTCACACTAACCTCCCTATGATAAATAGAATTAAATGGATAGTGAGTTTTAGGACGCACTTGTCAGAGGTTCGGATTCCAGTTGTTCCCTTATGTGATTTTCTTTCAGAAATATTACCTTCGCACAGTGGCCACACCATCATTACCTTCACACACAGTGGCCACACCATCATTACCTTCACACACAGTGGCCACACTATCAATACATAAGAACATAAGAACATAAGAACGAAGGAACACTGCAGAAGGCCTACTGGCCCATGCGAGGCAGGTCCAAGTCTCCTACCGGCTTAAGCCAATGCACCCAACCTAGTCAGGTCAGGTCACATTGACTTAAGGGAGGAACACGGCAACCGACCTGTTAGCACAAGCTATCAGGTCTAACTCACACCCACCACATCTACTCATGTATTTATCCAACCTATTTTTAAAGCTACACAACGTTCTGGCCTCTATAACGGTACTTGGGAGTTTGTTCCACTCATCCACAACTCTATTACCAAACCAGTACTTTCCTATATCCTTCCTGAATCTGAATTTTTCCAACTTAAAACCATTGCTGCGAGTCCTGTCTAGGCTAGATATTTTCAGCACACTATTTACATCCCCTTTATTTATTCCTGTCTTCCACTTATACACCTCAATCATATCCCCCCTAATTCTACGTCTTTCTAGAGAGTGCAGTTTCAGGGCCCTTAGTCTATCCTCATAGGGAAGGTTTCTGATACATGGATCATCTTTGTCATCCCCCTTTGTACATTTTCCAGAGAATTTAATCCATTCTGTAATACGGTGACCAAACTGTGCAGCATAATCTAAATGGGCCTAACCAAGGATGTATAGAGTTGAAGAACAACCTGAGGACTCCTATTATTTATGCTTCTTGATATGAAGCCAGGATTCTATTAGCTTTATTGCGAACACTTATGCACTGTTGTCTTGGTTTCAGATTACTGCTAACCAGAACTCCTAAATCTTTTTCGCAATCCGTAATATTAAGATCTACATTATTTAGTTTATATGTGGCATGGTTATTGTCCTGTCCAACATTTAGAACTTTGCATTTGTCTATATTAAACTGCATCTGCCACTTCTCCGACCACTGCATCAGTCTATTCAAATCTTCCTGGAGTGCTCGAATGTCCTCGTCAGAATGAATTCGACGGCCTATTTTGGTGTCATCGGCAAACTTGCCGATGTCGCTCTTTATCCCTCATCTATGTCGTTTATGTAGATTGTGAACAGCTGGGGGCCCAACACTGACCCTGTGGAACACCGCTCGTGACGCTTCCCCACTCTGATTTCTCCCCATTTATGCAAACTCTCTGCTGCCTATTTGTCAACCATGCCTCTATCCAGGAAAAAATTTCTCCTCCTATTCCGTGTGCTTTAATTTTCCTAATAGTCTCTGATGTGGGACCCTGTCAAAAGCCTTACTGAAGTCCTATACCAATATCATTTCATTCCATGATCTACCTCCTCAAATCCTAGTGAAAAAAGTTAATAAATTCGAAAGGCGGGAACGCCCCTTTGAAAAAAACCATGTGAGTTTCTTGATTAATTTTGCTTTTAAAGGGTGGCTACAAAATGCCTCGGCAATTTTGTTTCCCCTTAAATTTTCC